CAACTGATCCAATCATTTTAAACTTCAGCAGAGGCCACGCCTCCTGCAAGAAACGATTCTCTGTGCATCAAGTCCAGACCCTTGTACGAAGCAAAGTGAAGGCCAGGGTCTGGTTTAAACCAGGCCAGTGGTGCACACAAAAATACCAAACTACCCAATGACAGATAAAAAGCTTGAAGGCACCTGTGCTGCTTTTTAATCACATATTTCGAAAATGGTTACATGACTATAATATGAAGGTTAATTGTCTCCTTTTAAAAATACAGACAAATCTGTCTTTACTATTTGACCATCTCCTTGTACGATAAACAGCGAATCATTTATTTTCATAGTTGTTTCTGTTTACTTTGTCACAGACTAAAGACATGCAGTGGACTTGTTTTTAACTACGGTAAGTCACATTTTAAAAGAAAGGAAGCATTGTTTGAACAAGTGTAGTCATGTTTGTAGAGTAATTTAAATATTTTAAGGATTAAAAGGTAGCTGTTAATGTTAATGTTAATGTCAGTGGAATGGGTTTGTTAATCTTCCAGCTTTAATCTGCTGGAAAAGCATCAGGTGTTTCATGGTTGCTGTGTATTCAAGAGCGAAGCATGTCTTTATTAAACAGATGGTGTAACGTCCTCCCACTTCAGTGATGTGGCATTTCATTCAGGATGAGGTTTCACACCACAGAACACACTCTGGGTGTCCTTTGGACGGCACACTGAACCCCCAGTCTATTGTGTGCACTCTGGCTGCACTTCTGGCACCTCCATGTGTGTGAAGTGGGTGTATGGTGTTAGAGGTGGTCTCYCTACCAATATTCACACAAAACAAGACTCAACACAAAACACACAGGTTCTGRATCTCACACACCCAGAAGCTAAAAAGCCAGTCCTGTTGAGACCTGGCACTACACTCCATTCTGGGTGATTCAACTGCAAGTAGACAGTTTTGATTTAGGTCTTTCACATCTGGCAGCAGACTGTGTGCCCCAAAACATTTTTGCAATTGGATAACTATTACTTGCTCTCTGTGCAAATAAACAKAGAGGACTGTCAGCTGAGCAACAAGGTCTGCTGATGTTAAAAAATTACAATATTTTCAATAAATTCACCCAAAATTGATGCAAAGTGAAGGGTGCAAACGGGGCCTTGTTCAGACTTGGCACTATCTAGCTATCAGCTATGAGTTTGCACTCAGATAGCTCTAAATACAAATGAGAATGGCCTTAAGGGGGTATTAATTTCCAGGCGCATAGTTCAGTTCTACACCACAATCAAGTAACTGTTACTTTCAGCTGTTAAGGAAATACTAAAATGAATTTGACTAAACGCCTTGAAATTGGTCTCTCTGTGTATTCTTTTGATGGGGGAATGACATTATAGAATGATATAAAGCTAAAAACTGTCCAAATTACATGACCCCCAACCCCAAAGTAGGGATGTCCCGATCCAGATTTTTTGGCTCCCGATACAATCCAATTTTTTTAAATGTCTTTCTGATACAGATCCGATAGTTTTATTTCTTTATTTCTTTCCAAGTGACAAGGTTGGTAGTATTAAAGCGAGTCCTGCTGTTCCCACCACGAGAAACATCCAATTTGCAGATTTTGCAAGATGCAGTTTCAGCATCATTGTTTTCCARTGAAAAGTGTTCCCACGCTGTGGACATGGTTGTGTACTTGTATGCATTTTGACTTCTTAATAGCAGTTGTAAAGCATGATGATGCTGAAAACTGGATCGGCCCGATCACATGACTAAATCCGATTCTACCAGATTTTCAAAAAATGGCCASATCTGCCACCGATACGATACTGAGTATCTGATCGGGACATCCCTACCCCAAAGCACGCCAAAGGTGCAGTGAAAGTGTTTTCACCACCTCTTAAGGTGGTTTGAGGTCCAGACTGCATTTACTGTCATTTTTTAGGTGGTCTGATCACAATCCTTTGTGATCCACTGTGAAGGACCTCCTACTGTTTTAGCCTGGATGTCTCAGTGTAAAAATAAAAGGCTGAAAAAACCCCAAAAGCAAACAAAAATAACATGTCTTCAGAATAACCCTTACACCGATAAAATCTACAGAACAGCTCTCCAGTGCCTACATCTTCTTAGAAAATTAAGAAATTTTAATGGCAGCAAAACGATTTTAATCATGGTTTACCGGTCACTTATAATATCTATTCTCACTTTCAATATCACTTCTTGGTTTAAATTTCTCACTGGCAAACAAAACAAAACTGGCACGCATAACAAATCAAGCTAGTAAAATAATTGGTTTGACACAAACTCCACTGTCCCAGCTGTATCAGCGTGCTGTGATTAGGAAAGCCATCCTAATCAGAGAGGAACCCTCACATCCTCTCCATCACTCATTCAGTCTCCTTCCATCTGGTAGGGGATACAAAGTACGGCTGGCTAAGAAAGCAATACTCAAAAAGTCGTTTATTCCAACTGCAGTTTCAGCCCTCAACAAGAGAGGTATTTTTAAAATTTGTTTGCGATTTTTATTTTGAATAAATGTTTCTTTGAAATGTTGTTGTGTGCATGGAGCCCTGTCGAAAACAAATTTCTTTAACTTTTGGTGTCAAATAAAGTATTCTATTCTATTCTATTGATTAAATTTCCTTTATTAAGAGCTCGACACACGGGCAGCGACAAACTACAGCGATAAACGGCTGTCATCGCAGCCAGGGTGAAACCCGACACACGGGACGCGATAGCGATTGCAGGTTGCGAATCGCGCTCTCAGGTCGCTTGTCTTCACYAAATTTGATTGGTTCTTGACTCTGAAGGCGGGTGTGCATTACGGACGTGTAAATTAAACAAATCRTGCGATGCTAATGATATCGAAAAACAAACACACATCAAGATGCAGTTTATAAACTTCACCTGGGTGCCAATAAATTCCCACAAAGCTTTTTAGTAATCACTTGGTGAAAGTGTTAGCTAACTGCAGTGTGTAGCATACTCTCCTCTCATTGGTCAGTCAACGAAACCCTCGCTGATTGGTTGTACGCTAAGCGACAGCGACAAAAGTTGAACATTTTTCAACTTTCATATGTTGCATCGCAAGCTCGCGTGTGCACGTCTACGTGTACGAGCGCGAAATTTCACATGCACTATTTTCGCCGGTCGCTTAGCTGGAGGAGGGCAAGCGATTGTCGCCTCACCGCACAGGTTCCATAGGAAATGAATGGAGAGCGAGCGACGTCGCCTCCCGTGTGTTGAGCCCATTACGACGTATGGATTAGGTTCATTATGTGACCACAGAGTAAAAATGTTTTCAATGTGCATTGAGACTGTTTATTCTCTCCATATACAAATGCAATCCGACAGTTAAGGATAGATTTAAGGGCCAGTTCTGAACTGGGTCCCACTGTCTCTGTGTGCTTAGTTGTTTGAAACTGATGAAACAAAATGCAAATATCTCTCTTTGCTTCAGCCCCGTTGGAGACTTCTCTCACCTCTGTTGTAGGAAGCTGTGAGTCTGTGCACTTCAGGCTCTCATGCCTCGCTAAAAGCACCTGCTCTTTACTTCCTGCACTTCAGGACACCGCTTCACGGCCGTGTGCTATTTCAGGAGGAAGAGAGAGAATTTGATATGAAGGGAAGCACAGCTCGGCAGCCTCAGTATTTATTTAGGTTGACCGATGAAGGGATACTCTCCAACAAGCAGATCAATGACAGGCTTCAGCCCAAAACAAACCCTGAAGGAATGGTGAGAGTAGGGGGTACCCAGCTGTCTCCTGACTCACGCGCTGTGTCTGAAAAAGCAAGAAGCTTTTATAGGTGTCTGAGTCTTGTCTGAGTTCTGAGTAATGATGCCAAACTGTAGAGGACTGTAATAAAATGACAAACTTTATTTTTAGATGTAATGTAGCCTCCAGGGGGCTCTTTGTAGTGTGTAAATAGCATGCAGGCTCAGTGTGTGGGGTCATGTTGTCATCACCTTTAGCACTGCAGAGGGCTATCGGGTTCCCGGGCCGCATGTTTTCAGTGGCTAAGCAGAGCAATCAGAGGTGGCTGTCGGTTGTGGTTTTTGATGATCAGGAGTTGTTGCCCTGCAGCACTCTACTCGGCTCACCAGTCGTGTATGACAGTGGATCGTGTTGTAATGCGAGTGTGCCAAGGCGGTAGCATTTTGTGGTTGTGGTAGTAAGGCTGAATAATGGGGTGGAGTGTGAGACGAGGTTTGTACCACATAACAGCAGATTGTGGGTAAGTGAGATTCAAGTTTGTCTCTTAAAGCTTGCTGGACGTTACAGTCATGACACAACCTCTTTTAACAATGAGGTTTAAAGCATGGGGCTATAACTAAACCAACATAAAACCAGATCATTTTTTCTTCAGAATGTAAAACCTTTAAATGTGTTATATTTTATTTTTTATTGACACTGTTTGTGTTTCATTTTATTCTGTGTCCTGCAGTTCAGTCAGACATGAGGACGCCTCCATGCCTTGGCCGCTGAGCAGCTAAGGGTCAGCTCTTATTCCAGCAGTCATGGCAGACAAAGAGGGGCTGCCCATTGCCCCAGGGCAGGTCTACATCGAGGTGGAGTACGACTACGAGTACAAGGCAAAAGACAAGATGGTGACCATTCGACAGGGAGAATGCTACCTGCTGGTGAAGAAGACCAACGAGGACTGGTGGCAGGTGAGGAAGGAGGAGGGCGCCAAGGCTTTTTATGTGCCGGCACAATATGTCAGGGAGGTGCGTCGGGCGCTCTTGCCCCCCCAGAAACCCGCCTTGAGGGCCAAGCCCACGGTTTTGGATATATGCAAGGAGTCCAACGAGAATTTCAGACCTCACCCYGAAATGTCCAGCTTTGGTCGCCCGTCGCCTTCTTCCACCCCCTCACCGTCTTCTGACAGAGTCACGCCACCCGTGCTCTCGAAGGACACGAATCAGAACTTGGGGAGTCCTCACCACTGCAAGCTGGTAGCAGAACTGGTACTGTTCCACAACAACAACAACCATCATCACAGCAGCAGTTCCTTCTCGCCTCAAACGCAGGACGATTCGCCTCCGTTCAAAGTGGGAAGCAACCACAGCAAGAGTCCGGACGGAGACRGGAGCTCCACTCCCAGCGAGATGCCTGGGGAGGGGTCCGACAAGCTCCGCCACGACTCTGAGTCCGGGGACGAGTTGAGCAGCAGCTCAACAGAGCACATGCAGGTAGGAAAGAGCTGCTTTTAAAGATTTAAATGAATTTTYAGACATTTTCTTGGTGCCTTCTTTGATAGTTTGTGATGTTGCACATACCGCATCTTTGTCTCTGCTGGACTGTTTTGAAACCAGTCTGCAGTTTTTGTCCAAATGTACTCCAATTTCTTTCATTATTATCAATTTACTTGTGTTTCTCTGCTCATTTTTTATTTTGACTAACATCTAATATCTTAAGTGAAATCTCCTGTGTGGAGTGGTACAGTGGGTTGCGAAAGTTTGGGCAGCCTTGTTAATTTTCCTGATTTACCTTTTTATAAATCATCGATTGCTTGGATAAAAAAATCAGTAAAATATATCATATAGGGGACAAACACAGTGAAATTTGAGAAGTGAAATGAAGTTTATATGATTTACAGAAAGTGTGCAATAATTGGTTACGAACAAAGAAAATCAGGCAGGTGCATATATTTGGGTACCAAAAATAAATAAATAAAAATAAAACGACTGTACATTCTTTACTTGTGTTCACTTTTATCATCCTTTCATTCCAACATAGTTCAATTGGTTCAACCCTCGTCAGATAAAAGATAAACACAATAAGACACAAACATTGTCCCATTGCTGCCTTTGTGGCATCTTTTGTCTGGTTAGTTAAGAGGGATCATTTCTTRGGAGTAGGGCAGCTGCTGTAGATGGGTCAATAAAAGGCAAATGATATATTTATAGCTTGGTCATAAAATTGAAATTTCTCTAATTAAGAGTCTTGGGTACACTTAATAAAAAAGATCACAAACCAATTACTTGACTTAGTGGTTTTATCTATTTTATTATCAGTTTTATGTTTCAGAAAAGGTGGTAGTYTTTTTTACAGCCATGACTGGTGGTTTGTGAGCATTTATTCCTGCATGGTGTCTGCTGTCTGCACGAATCGAGACTTCCTAATGCCCCCAGTGAAAACATGAAATTAATTTTCTTGCCGTCTCCATAGTGGTAGTCAGGCCTCCTCCCAACTTCATGACGTTTGTTTCATTTCTTTGCAGGAACTTGGGTTTTTCTCCCATTTTTGTGCAGCACATATAAATCAAAGTTAAAAAATAACACAGTTTATCTCAAGACACCGGAGGTCTAAATGGTACTGTTTCTAGACGGGGTCAGCGTGTTTGATGGCTCCAAAATACTGCTTGTGTTCTTTGTTCCACATGCTGCATCAGCGGCCTCCTCCACCATGGAGTGAACAAAGAGACGAGCTTGAATAGAAACTAGGTCATTCTGCTGAGGATCCATGTGTAGCCCCCCAGTCCCCCCAGCATGGGGACCACTGTGAGCATGCCGGAGTGCGAATGCTATGCGTGATACGCCACATGAAGGGAGGAACTGTGCGATGGCAGCTAACTCACAGCTTCAGAGACMTTAATATATGATGGCTAAACATTATGGGGTCAAAGGCACGTCAAAAAATTCTGTTAAGGTGAGAAAAGGATTTTCTTTCTTCGATGGGACCACCAAATCTTTGGAGTTCAATTTACGCTAAGTAAAAATAAACACACATTTCACTTTATTTATGTCAGCATTATTTTGTCTTTTTATGTCAAGAAATAACTTCGGCAGTTTATATTTGGCCCCGTTTACACGAGACCTGTCTCTGGAAATGCTGATGTTTTTCAATGTTTATAGGGTGATTAAACAAAAAAAAAAATCACTCGTTTACATGGAACCACAGCAGTAAWATGCCAGGCAGCGTTGCCAGACGGAACAAGATAAACTGTTGTACCGTCCCTTTTAATATTATAATTTGACCCAAACTGTTTTATTTGCTGAGTGAGGGTGGTGTAAGATGAAGTGTTTGTTTTTGTTTAGTGAAAATGTGCACAGAAAAGGAGGGGCAAAAAAAACTAATTTTGTTTTTTTTTATCTGGCAATCCTGATTCCAGGCTAACCACAAAGTTGCTGTTTCCTGTAGTTTTTAATCTTCCTCCGTAATAAATCTGTTGATTAATCCTGAAGTAGCTCAAGATGACGTATTTCTCAATTGTGTCAAARGTGCACACAGGTTTGTTTTAATATCCTCATGGGGACCGTGCATTGACTTTTTCTGAATAATGGTTCTCATGGTGTAGTAAAAATGTGCCCACACACTCACAAAAACCAACAGAATTAACTGATTTTTAGTCATCCTGTGGTTCAATATGTTTTAAACTAACTACAAAGTTGTTATTTCTCGTCATCGTTAATATTCCCTCAGTAATAAATCTGTTTGTTGATTAATCCTGCGGTCTCTCACTGATGTCATCAGCTCATTATCATTTTCTGAGCGTGGCACCGTTGGTTGCTTTATCACAAGTCGGTCAGCCTACCTTGGGCCCGGCTCAGATACTACCTTGCTTGGGGGCTCAGAGGGGCATCAGAGGCGGGTTCACTTTACTCGCCTTTTCACCTTTGTGTTTTTTCTGAATGTTCGGATGTGGACAGAACACACATCGGTCCTGGACTGAGCTGTCTTATGAACGAGGATGGAGACGTCAATCACCAGTGACGTGTAAACGAGAAGCTGGGTCGCAACAAAAATGTTATGTTTTCACTAGGGCTGTGAAATGAATCGAGCTAACTCTGATTAATTTTAGTGCTGCATGAGTTTAGATTAAAATTTTTAAT